TTGTGTTCAACGTAAAAAATAAATAATGTAAATATGTTTAATATGTGTGGATATTGGAAGAGAGGTAGTAGTAAAGTAATATGGAAAAGTTGTATTTGAGGCATCCCACATCGGTGGGTGAAAAAGAAATAGAAGGCAAATAGAGTCTATAAAATGGAGTGCTTAGAAGATCAAGACAAGCGTCATTTTTATTTCCGGTTGAACCAAGCCAATTTTTTACCGGTTTTATCTAAACCGCCGGTTTTTAATGGTTTGCAAAAGGGTTAATGTTATAAAAACGTTTAAGTTTTTAGGGTTTTTGGTTTTTTTTAAAGTTGAATTTTATGTCCGTTTTTACTCTAACATTTTCTAAAAAAATTTCGGTTTACCCGATGATAACAGGTTACTATTATATTAACTTCGCAAAAAAACCCTTAAGTTTACAGTTTTTTTTACGTTTTTACCCTTAAGTTTATAATTTTTTTACACTTTTACCCTATTTATTTTTTCTTCATATTATACATATTCAAGCAGAAAAATCATATTTATAAACGAAAAAAATTTAATTAAATATTGCTTTTACATTTTTTTAATGTTAATTCTTTATATATATATATATATATATATATATATATATATATCTATATATATATATATATATATATATATGTTGTGTGTGTGTGTGTATGAGTTTTTTTTCTTAGATAAACCATTTAAGATGTAAAAAAAACAAATTAATATGTTTTTAGAACTACAAATACGTATTTTTATGTATTTAAAAATATACATATCAATAAAAAAAACTTGTTCATTCATAAACATGTTTATATACGTATATACATATATTTTTAGAAGTGTAAATATGTATTTTGATATATGTTTATTTTGAAGTATAAATATATTTTTAGAAGTATAGATACATATTAATATATAAAAATGTAAATATATGTATTTATACTTCTAAAAACTATATCTATAAATCACATATTCATAATTCAAAAAATATTATTTATCTTTTTAAATGGTATAACCATGCAAAAACACACACACAAACAAACAAATATATATATATATATATATATATATATAATATATATATATATATATATATAACATTAAAAAAAATATAAATACAATATTTAATTAAATATTTTTTCGTATATAAATACGATTTTTCTGCATTAATATGTATATTATGAAAAAAATATACTTAGGGTAAAAGTGTAAAAAAAATTATAAACTTAAGGGTAAAAACGCAAAAAAAATAGTAAACTTAAGGGTTTTTTTACGAATTTAATATAATGGTAACCTGGAAAACCTGTTATCACCGGTAAAAGGGTAAAACCGAACATTTTTTCGAAAATGTTTGGGTAAAAACGGACATAAATTTTAACTTTGGGCAAAACCGACAAAACCCTAAAAACTTGAGGGTTTTTATGACATTAACCCTTTGCAAACAAACGGTTTTTGGGGTTTAAAAAACCGGTAACATGGCCGGTTCCCGGTTGAACCGGTCCAACCGGCCGGTCCGGTCCGGTTTTCAAAATACTGCATGTATCATGTTGGCCACAATGACAGCTGAACTCCAGAAGTCCTATGAGGACTTTTACCCTTTTGAAATGCACATGGACCTGATGGACAAATACCATCAGAGTGCTCGTCAAGAGATGTATGAAATCATCTCTTCCATGATAACAACCCGAATGAAGGATGGTGAACCCATCATGGGCCACATGCAGAAAATGCAAAGGTTTGTGGATCGTCTGCTGAAGTTGAATGTGAACTTCCCTGAGGAGTTGGCTATTGATATCATACTGCACTCCTTACCTACTTGTTATGATCAGTTCCGAATGACCTATCACATGAACAAGGAGGAGGTCACACTCAACAAGCTTCAAGGACTTTTGAAGACCGCCGAAAGTGGTCTCAAAGGCAAATCGGTTGTTACAACTCCTACTCCTAACACCGCCCCTGTTCTGGAAATCGGGCAAAGTAGAGGGAAAAAGAGGAAGACCCATTCGAAGGGTACCAAGGGAAAGTCTCTTGATGACTCCTCTTCGAGTGGAACCAAAGATGGTTGTGTCACTCCTTCTTCCAACCCAAAGGAAGCTGAATGCTTCTATTGTCATGATAAGGGGCACTGAAAATAAAACTGCCCCAAGTACCTGCAAGATGTTAAGGATGGGAAGGTCAAAGCTACCCATGCAGGTATTTACACTATATTGTCTAATAACTCACCGCATACTAATTCTTGGGTCCTTGATACAGGTTGTGGTATTCATATATGTTCTGATTTGCAGGGCCTAAGAAGAAGTGAGGATGTGGAGCACGGAAGGATAAACTTGATCATGGGGAATAGGAAAGCTTCACCTGTCACCAAGATTGGAGTTTATTCTTTGTTGCTAAGTAGTGGGTTAATGTTAGATTTCAATAAGTGTTGTTACTCGTCTGAAATAGCGAGAAATATTATTTCTTTTCACGGTTTGTACAAACAAGGATTTACTTTTTCATTTGATAATGAATGTGGTGGTATTAATGTTTTTTATAATAATATTCTTTATTTTAAAGCATTACCTTGTGATGGTGTATATGAAACTATGTCGGTTGTAGACAACTTAGGAAATAATGTGTTGCATATCGATTCTTCCACTAGTTTGGACAAAGCATCCTTGTGGCATTGTCGTCTTGGACATGTCAACAAGAAGCGCATTGGCCAACTCCAAAAGGCTGGAGTCTTTGAGTCATTTGACTTAAAGTCAGATGATAGTTGCGAGTCTTGTTTGCTTCGAAAAATGACAAAGTCACCCTTCACTGGTACTTGTGTTAGGGGTGAAGGTTTGTTGGACCTCATACACACAGATGTGTGTGGACCCTTCAGAACCGTCACAAGGGATGCTAACCGCTTCTATGTGATTTTAACTGATGATTATAGTAGATATGGTTATGTCTACTTAATCAAGCATAAGTCGGAAACTTTTGAAAAGTTCAAGGAGTTTAAACAGGAAGTGGAGAATCAGTTGGGCAGGAACGTTAAGATGCTTCGATCCGATTGAGGAGGAGAGTATCTTAGTACAGAGTTCCTTGACTATCTTAAGGAATGTGGAATTGTTTCACAATTGACACCTCCCAGAACACCACAACTTAATAGTGTGGCTGAGAGGCGCAATCGAACCTTGTTGGACATGGTTCGTTCCATTATGAGTCGAGCTTCGTTACCAATCTCATTCTGGGGGTATGCCTTAGAGACTGCCGCCCATATCCTTAATCTGGAAAGTCATGTAAATGTTCAAGAATATGCTTTTGAGGACAATGAGTACCCTCATTTATTTCTAAACCCAAAAAATTAATTTTTGTTTTGAAAAGATGAGCTTTCTTTTTTGAAAGTATTATTCCATATTTTAAAATGGTTCTGAGAACCTGTGTAACATGAACATAGTGTTCTTGTTCATTTTTGCTGAAGACCATGATGTCATCAACGTATACAGTACAGAAACTTTCAAGTCCTCGAAGGGCGTTCTGCATGTGTCTTTGAAAAATACTAGGAGCTTGTTTAAGCCCAAAGGGTAGTACTTTCCATTGAAAGAGTCCATCAGGACATGTGAAGGCAGTGAGAAGCTGCGATTCTTCATCAAGTAGGACTTGCCAGAAACCTGACTTGCAGTCAAAACTTGAATACATATTTTTTCCTCGTAGAAGAGTCAAAAGTTCGTGCATATTGGGAAGATTATGTGAGTCTCCAATAGTTGCATCATTGATTGCTTTGTAGTTGACAACCATGCGCTTCTTTCCTCTTCTTTTCTCTGCTTCTTTGTTGACAAGAAAGGCAGGGGACATATGAGGGGATTTTGATTCTATAATTAGTCTCATATCAAGTAATTCCTTGATTTGTTTGGAGAATTCTTCTCTATCTTGTGGAGAGTAAACCATAGGTTTTTCTCTAATAACCGTTTTGGGATTAATGAGCCTAATTGAAGCTTTCATCCATCCTTTGGTTTTATCTGGATCAATAGGATTTTCAGAACAAACTTTTTCAAGAAGATCTTCAATCTGTTTGAACCTGGTAGTTTGAATAGAAATAATCCTTTCTTCATTAATTCCTTCTTGGGTTATATTAGTACCCGGAATTTGTTTTTCTTTAGAGCCTTTTTCTTGAGTTTTAAGAAAACCTGGTTTTCCTTTGCTATAGGCTTCTGTAACCTTTTTATAATTACCATATCATTATTAAGATGAAAGGCAACTATCCATTGTATAAATGGTCCATAAACTTGACAAAAGTTGTTACCAGTTATGATATCAATTCCTGAATTTTGTTGATAAATAGTGGGAACGTTGAAATGTTCTCCTGAGAGTTCGAGATTAATATTTCTACAAACTTTATTTATCATTATGGTTTCACCATTTGCAATAGTGGCACTAATTTCTTTGGGAGCATTTTCCCAGAGTTCATCCGGAATGATGAATTTGCTTGCAAGACATAAAGATGCACCTGTGTCTACAAAACAATGTACTCTAAATTTCTTATATCCTTTAAAGTTAAGGAAGGCAGAAACATAAATAGAGTTTGGATTAGTGAGATTCATGATAAGGGAGTCATTAATTTTTTGGAGGTTCAAGTTAAACTCCTCCTCCCTAAAAAGTGGAGCCTGTATGAGACTAGTCTGAGTCATCCGTGGTTGATTTGTTTTCATCAGAATTTGATGAAGAATCAGTTTCAACATGAAATGTAAAGACATGTTGTATACCTTCATACTCTTCTTCAAGAGCTTCATATCCTCCATTATTAGCGGTTTGTAAAACCTTGACTTTGTCAGGGTATTTTTTCTATTTGGACATTCATTGGCATAGTGTCCTTCTTCATTGCAGATCCAACATCTACATTTTTTCTTTCCTTGTGGACAGGAAGTAGTCTTCTTAGGTGATTCTTTTGAAGGTTTTTTGAAGTATTTTCATGGTGAAAATTTTCTTCTTTTCTTCTTCCAGAAAGATTTGTATTTCTTTTTGTTTTTATACTTTTTCTTAGTTTAAGTTTTCCTTCCAATATCAAAGTTTTTGAAATCAGAGAGAATGCTACAACAATCTTTACTTATTGTTTTGAGCTTTTGTTGTTTATATCTGTCTTGACAGATTCTATCAATTTCTTCCTTTGCAATTTTTGTTGCATAAGAAAGACTGGTTTGCTGGATTTCTCCAGTAGCTTCTTTTTTCCATCTTTCAGTACAGATTTCTCCAATAATTGGAATTTTCATGAGATAAGCAGATATCCATTGTGCATATTCACTTCTCTGGGGAATATCATATAGATATGATTCATACATACATGTGTATTTGTCGAGAAGACTAATATCATGTAATTGGAGTTTTGTCATTGAAACTCTTGCTACGTCAGCTTTCTTATTAATGGTAAAGTCTTTATTAGAAATATAATCAAGACCTAAGAAAGTAGTGTATATGACATTTATGAGATTATCAAAAAGATCTGAACCATGCAAATCTTCATTCCAATTATTGTTTCTTAGGAACTTTTGCACAATTCCATCAGTTTTGTGTTCTAAAAGTAGAAGAACATTTTTTGCTTTCTCAAATTCATCTGGGTTTGTCTGTAAGATTAGTGAAATCTCAGTAACCCATTTTTCTACAACTCTTTCTCTGAGTTTTAGATCTTGGATACAATCAATATTGAGTACATTGATCGTATTGGGTCCTTTGCTACTATCTGGAATACCATTGTGGACAGGCATTTTGAACTCATATTTCTTTTTATTGCTTCTTCTTGCGGTTGTATAAGAAGATTCTGCTTCATCATCTTCCATATCTGAATATTCGAACTTAACTGTCTTTGTATTAGTTTTAAAGTTATCTTCTTGTTCTGATTCAGTATCAGGTTCATCTATTTTAGTCATTCTAAAATATTGATCAAAAAGTTTGGGTTCTTTTTGATACAATTCTTCGCATTCTTCAGTTTCTAAAGATAAAAGCTGAATAAGTTTTTGGTCAGCCTTATCATAATCTTCATATTGAAGGTTAAAGAAATATTTCTCAAGTTTCTCGGAGATTGTTTCTTTCATTTTTGCTCTTTTTTGAAAATATCAATTTTCTGGGAGTCTTTTGAACTTCCTAAGTCAGGGTTTCCAATACTAGGATTGGGAGGTGAGTATTTCTTAAGACTTGAATATTTTCCAGGTTTGGTCTTTTGTTCTATGATGGAAATATTCTTGATGTGTTCAAGAATGTCTTTATTACAAGGGCAAGAGTCAATCTTTTCAGATAACTCTTTAGTAATGTCTGCAATAATTTTTGTAGATGCTACTTCTAACTGTGTTACGTATTTATTGGCCGTTAAGTCAAAGTTTATAATCAGCCCATCTATTTTTTCATTAAGGATGTTGATTGATCTATTGAGCTCGGGTATCGAGGTCATCCTATCAGTTGTTTTAACTGATCTTGTATATTAGTGATCTTAAGGTTGTTTTCCTTAAGAGCGCCTTCAATATATGCCTTTTTGGCGACTTCTTCAACAAAATGGTTGTTTTTTAAAGAGTTTTCTAAAAGAATAGAATGTTTGTCAATAGACTGGGTTAGCTTGATTGTTAATTTATTTTGTCTTTCAATAACTTCGAAGAATTTTTCAAAATTATTTTTATCAAGATTGTTTTTAACCAAAATGGCTAAATTGTTTTTAAATTGGTTAAAAGGTATTTTATTTTTTGAAATATCTTTAGAAATATCTTTTGAAATACCAAGGTAATGGCTTATTTTTGAAGTTTTTAAGAGACATCTTGCAATGATCTGGTTGATATTATTGCAATGATTTACAATTGTTTGAATACATGCTTTTCCAGAAGTAGAGAAAACGTATTCTTTCTTTTCAGTATTGTCGTCAAGAGTTTTAATTTTTACTGTTTTACCTTTTTTATAAAAATGAGGAAAATCTATTTTATTACTCATTTATTACTTCAGAGATTTGTTTGATATTCTGACGTAGACTATCAATTTTTAAAGACATGTTTCTTATTAAGTTACTATCTTTTCTTTCTGAGCTTTCTCCTATATGAAGTGAATCCATAGAAATTCTTGGTCTAAGAGTTTCTCCTAGAGCTTTTTTGTTTCTACCAAGAAGGTTGCCAAAACACCTCACGAGATGTGGACTGGTAAAGTTCCCAATTTAGACCACATCATTCCTCGAAGCCGTCTTCATCCTAAGATGCAGTCCTATGAGATAGGTTAGTGTTTTGTCAATAGACTGGAAGCCGTCTATTATTTATCCACTAAAAATTACATTATTGTGGTTGATTTGTAAGAACAATAATAGATACAAGGAGTCTATTATTGTTCATGACTCTATTATTGTGGACCATTGGTTGAGTATACCCAAATTGGTGTAAGAACAATAATAGATACATGTCTTTACATTACAGATTAGAGAGAAAAGTAATCTTACGGAATTTTCCTATGAGATAGGTTAGTGTTTTGTAATATGAAGATTATGATAAGGCTGACCAAAAACTTATTCAGGTTTTATCTTTAGAAACTGAAGAATGCGAAGAATTGTATCAAAAAGAACCCAAACTTTTTGATCAATATTTTAGAATGACTAAAATACCTCTTAACCAACTTAAAAATGATTTAGCCATTTTGGTTAAAAACAATCTTGATAAAAATAATTTTGAAAAATTCTTCGAAGTTATTGAAAGACAAAATAAATTAACTATCAAGCTAACCCAGTCTACTGACAAACATTCTATTCTTTTAGAAACTCTTTAAAAAACAACCATTTTGTTGAAGAAGTCGCCAAAAAGGCAAATATTGAAGGCACTCTTAAGGAAAACAACCTTAAGATCACTAATATACAAGATCAGTTAAAACAACTGATAGGATGACCTCGATACCCGAGCTCAATAGATCAATCAACCTCCTTAATGAAAAAATAGATGGGCTGATTATAAACTTTGTCTTAACGGCCAATAAATACGTAACACAGTTAGAAGTAGCATCTGCAAAAATTATTGAAGACATTACTAAAGAGTTATCTGAAAAGATTGACTCTTGCCCTTGTAATAAAGACATTCTTGAACACATCAAGAATATTTCCATCATAGAACAAAAGACCAAACCTGGAAAATATTCAGGTCTTAAGAAATACTCACCTCCCAATCCTAGTATTGGAAACCCTGACTTAGGAAGCTCAAAAGACTCCCAGAAAATTGATATTTTCAAAAAAGAGCAAAAATGAAAGAAACAATCTCCGAGAAACTTGAGATATATTTCTTTAACCTTCAATATGAAGATTATGATAAGGCTGACCAAAAACTTATTCAGCTTTTATCTTTAGAAACTGAAGAATGCGAAGAATTGTATCAAAAAGAACCCAAACTTTTTGATCAATATTTTAGAATGACTAAAATAGATGAACCTGATACTGAATCAGAACAAGAAGATAACTTTAAAACTAATACAAAGACTGTTAAGTTCGAATATTCAGATATGGAAGATGATGAAGCAGAATCTTCTTATACAACCGCAAGAAGAAGCAATAAAAAGAAATATGAGTTCAAAATTCCTGTCCACAATGGTATTCCAGATAGTAGCAAAGGACCCAATACGATCAATGTACTCAATATTGATTGTATCCAAGATCTAAAACTCAGAGAAAGAGTTGTAGAAAAATAGGTTACTGAGATTTCACTAATCTTACAGACAAACCCAGATGAATTTGAGAAAGCAAAAAATGTTCTTCTACTTTTAGAACACAAAACTGATGGAATTGTGCAAAAGTTCCTAAGAAACAATAATTGGAATGAAGATTTGCATGGTTCAGATCTTTTTGATAATCTCATAAATGTCATATACACTACTTTCTTAGGTCTTGATTATATTTCTAATAAAGACTTTACCATTAATAAGAAAGCTGACGTAGCAAGAGTTTCAATGACAAAACTCCAATTACATGATATTAGTCTTCTCGACAAATACACATGTATGTATGAATCATATCTATATGATATTCCCCAGAGAAGTGAATATGCACAATGGATATCTGCTTATCTCATGAAAATTCCAATTATTGGAGAAATCTGTACTGAAAGATGGAAAAAAGAAGCTACTGGAGAAATCCAGCAAACCAGTCTTTCTTATGCAACAAAAATTGCAAAGGAAGAAATTGATAGAATCTGTCAAGACAGATATAAACAACAAAAGCTCAAAACAATAAGTAAAGATTGTTGTAGCATTCTCTCTGATTTCAAAAACTTTGATATTGGAAGGAAAACTTATACTAAGAAAAAGTATAAAAACAAAAAGAAATACAAATCTTTCTGGAAGAAGAAAAGAAGAAAATTTTCACCAGGAAAATACTTCAAAAAACCTTCAAAAGAATCACCTAAGAAGACTACTTCCTGTCCACAAGGAAAGAAAAAATGTAGATGTTGGATCTGCAATGAAGAAGGACACTATGCCAATGAATGTCCAAATAGAAAAAAATACCCTGACAAAGTCAAGGTTTTACAAACCGCTAATAATGGAGGATATGAAGCTCTTGAAGAAGAGTATGAAGGTATACAACATGTCTTTACATTTCATGTTGAAACTGATTCTTCATCAAATTCTGATGAAAACAAATCAACCACGGATGACTCAGACTAGTCTCATACAGGCTCCACTTTTTAGGGAGGAGGAGTTTAATTTGAACCTCCAGAAAATTAATGACTCCCTTATCATGAATCTCACTAATCCAAACTCTATTTATGTTTCTGCCTTCCTTAACTTTAAAGGATATAAGAAATTTAGAGTACATTGTTTTGTAGACACAGGTGCATCTTTATGTCTTGCAAGCAAATTCATCATTCCGGATGAACTCTGGGAAAATGCTCCCAAAGAAATTAGTGCCACTATTGCAAATGGTGAAACCATAATGATAAATAAAGTTTGTAGAAATATTACTCTCAGGAGAACATTTCAACGTTCCCACTATTTATCAACAAAATTCCGGAATTGATATCATAATTGGTAACAACTTTTGTCAAGTTTATGGACCATTTATACAATGGATAGATAGAATTGCCTTTCATCTTAATAATGATATGGTGATTATAAAAAAGGTTACAGAAGCTTATAGCAAAGGAAAACCAGGTTTTCTTAAAACTCAAGAAAAAGGCTCTAAAGAAAAACAAATTTCGGGTACTAATATAACCCAAGAAGGAATTAATGAAGAAAGGATTATTTCTATTCAAACTACCAGGTTCAAACAGATTGAAGATCTTCTTGAAAAAGTTTGTTCTGAAAATCCTATTGATCCAGATAAAACCAAAGGATGGATGAAAGCTTCAATTAGGCTCATTAATCCCAAAACGGTTATTAGAGAAAAACCTATGGTTTACTCTCCACAAGATAGAGAAGAATTCTCCAAACAAATCAAGGAATTACTTGATATGAGACTAATTATAGAATCAAAATCCCCTCATATGTCCCCTGCCTTTCTTGTCAACAAAGAAGCAAGAAAAAGAAGAGGAAAGAAGCGCATGGTTGTCAACTACAAAGCAATCAATGATGCAACTATTGGAGACTCACATAATCTTCCCAATATGCACGAACTTTTGACTCTTCTACGAGGAAAAAATATGTATTCAAGTTTTGACTGCAAGTCAGGTTTCTGGCAAGTCCTACTTGATGAAGAATCGCAGCTTCTCACTGCCTTCACATGTCCTGATGGACTCTTTCAATGGAAAGTACTACCCTTTGGGCTTAAACAAGCTCCTAGTATTTTTCAAAGACACATGCAGAACGCCCTTCGAGGACTTGAAAGTTTCTGTACTGTATACGTTGATGACATCATGGTCTTCAGCAAAAATGAACAAGAACACTATGTTCATGTTACACAGGTTCTCAGAACCATTTTAAAATATGGAATAATACTTTCAAAAAAGAAAGCTCATCTTTTCAAAACAAAAAATAATTTTTTGGGTTTAGAAATAAATGAGGGTACTCATTGTCCTCAAAAGCATATTCTTGAACATTTACATGACTTTCCAAATGTTTTAGAAGACAAAAAACAACTGCAAAGATTTCTTGGTGTTTTAACTTATGCTGAAACATATATTGAAAAACTTGCAGCCATGAGAAAACCTTTACAGGTAAAATTGAAAAAAGATGTCATCTGGAATTGGTCAAATGCTGATACAGACTACATCAAAAAGATAAAGAAAGTTTTAATCAATTTTCCAAAACTTTATCTTCCAAACATTGAAGACAGTTTAATTATTGAAACTGATGCTTCTGATGAATTTTGGGGAGGTGTTTTAAAAGCTAAAAACCCAAAAACAAAGAACAAATTTGCAGGTACACCTCTGGCAGTTTCAAAGCAGCCGAGAAAAACTACCATAGCAATGAAAAAGAATTACTCGCTGTAAAAAGAGTTATTACAAAATTCTCTGTATATTTAACACCAGTAAAATTCCTGGTTCGTACAGATAATAAAAATTTTACTTATTTCCTCCGAACTAAGATTGCAGGAGACAACAAATTGGGCCGACTAATACGTTGGCAAGAGTGGTTCTCACGATATACTTTCACTGTTGAACATCTCGCAGGAAATAAAAATATACTGGCAGACTGCCTCACCCGTGACTTCAGGTATACCTTACATCATCCATGATCTCACTTGCTCCTCTCGAGCCCTATAAAAGGATATGATCCTCATGACATATTCCTCACAAAAAACTTCACCTACAAAAAAGAGAGGGGGAGATTAGAGAGAAAAGTAAAAAAAATTGAGTTTACAAAAATGGAAGGACCTCAACACTTTGAGGATAAAGAAACAAATGCTCCTCATTGAGCTATCTGCAATTGAGCAGAAAATCAACTTGTATGAACAAGTAACAACGGTCACCAATGTACCGGAAAGCGAAAGCTTAAAAACAAAGGCTATTCCAGTGCAAACGGCACCTGGTAAAGAATCAACAAATCCGTTGAAAGCTGATGCTTTGCTAAAAAGCATAATAAAGGAGACAGCTACTCCTCTTCCTGAAGGAAAAACTAGCTTATTGGTTAACCCCAATCCTTGTACTGAAGGAATCAGTAAAATGACAACTTTGTCACCCACCAACAAATCTGTGCAGGAGTTTACACCAGATTACAAAAAAGCTCTTAACAAAGAAGCTGAAAGATTTTATGTAATCTACAAAGGACCACATGCCGGTGTTCATACTGACTGGGGAATTACAGAAACTTTCTGTAAAGCTGATAAAGTTACTTGCAAAAAATTCAGAAATGAAGCATCTGCAAGATTAAGCTTTTGCCACCTATCAAGATGATACAAGCAAAACTAACCAACCACTTCTTCGACCAAAAATCCAAAAAGTCAAAGAAGCTCACAGAGACCAAAGGTTTGACGTTCCAATTGACGTCCAACAAACGGTTAACTATCCTGAAATCTCTTTTGAAGATTTCAGAACAATCTGGAAGAAAGCAAGAGCTGCATGCCCAGAAGACCTTATCTATGAAAAAAATTTTCACTACGGATAAGAAGACAAAAAGTCTGTTCAACTTCCTCGAAGGAGCAGATGCAAATTTAGTCTACCAAGCCTTTCAAGCTGGACTAATCGACAATATCTACCCAAGTTGCAACCTTCAAGAACTCAAATTCTTCCCAAGCAGCATGGTAGAATCCATTAAGAACTTTCGAAAGAAAGTACTTAAAGCAAAAGATAATCCGATCTACATCAGATGCATCTCTTCACTCCCAGAATGGATTCAAGAATCAACTCTTTCTCCATACCATTTTCTGGAAATTGGTCTTTCTAAAGCCAATAGAGAAATTGAGCAATCTCAACCAATGGAGGATAAAGATCTACCATTCATAGAAATTCTTCATCCCAATCGCATCAATGGTTTAAGAAGAATCTCAGAAAAAATCATTGAGATTATCTCTGGATCAAAAAAGAAGATTAACTATACCGACTCGCATTGTATAATTACAAGCTGGAGTTACAACAACACCAGCCAAGAAGATCTTCGTCAAGCCTCCAAATTTGGCGAAAAATTCATGAACAATAGCATGGAAGTATCCAACGCTACACGCCAACACTTCTGCCGACATGCAGAACAAAAACATATCAGAGCCTTTGTTGATATGACATTACATTATAATAAAACACTTTACAATGAAATTTTCGATAGAATTCGTAATAAAGAGAATGAGATTTCTCAACAAAAAGAAATACTTTTAAGTAATAAAAAAGATTTAGTGCATATAAATTTCAGAATTCTACAAGCACAAAATAAACATACTCACGAATATATACCAACCATGGTTAATATACGTAAGTACCTCCTTCATAGGCAAAAAATGCATCAAGAACACCTTGATAAAGCTTTAAACTCAGTTTCAGAACTCAGAAAAAGGATTTTAACTTGTTAACATTTCTTAAACATGAATAAAGAAATTTTCAACAATTCTGAAGAAAATGATTCAGAAGAAAAACAAATCCTAACTTATGTTGAGGATGAAGACGGCTTCCATGCAAACCTCTTAATAAAACAAGACCTTCTCTCTCGAGTTAAGAAAACAAATTTAAAAATAAAGAAAGAAAACATTTTCAAAAATGTTCCTTCTAAACTTAGTATTTTAAATCCACTTAAAAGGAAAAATGAAATTTTCTACTTTGTTAGTACTAAAGAAATGTCTGTAGACATAAAAGACACAATAGGAGCTGTCTTTCTACCCCTTTTGACTAAAGAACAAATAAACAATAACTTAAAAAGTATTCCAGTTGAGATTAGATCAAAAATAAGAATGGTCCATATCGGAGCTGTAAAATTTTTGATAAAATCCCAATTCCAAGCAGGAATAAATTCTCCCATAAAAATGGCCTTAATTGACAACAGAATTACTGACAGACAGGACTGCATCTTAGGTGCTGCTAGGGGAAACCTTGCTTACCAAAAATTTATGTTTTCAGTCTATCCAAAATTTGCTCTGGATTTGAAATCTGCAAATATAGATAAAACTTTATCTTTTATACATCACTTTGAAAGAAGTGACCTTATGAACCCAGGTGATAAACCATTCACCATAACCTATCTCATAGGATATGCCCTGACCAATAGTCACCATAGCATAGACTACAAGAAAGACGAGTACATCGAACTTGATGATGTCTTTTCAGAAATAGGCCATGTCAAAGATAAACAATTCTGCGACATAAATCCTCAAGAAAACTCTTGGGTTTTAAATATAGCTAGAAACAAAAAAGCTCTAGGAGAAACTCTTAGACCAAGAATTTCTATGGATTCACTCCATATAGGAGAAAGCTCAGAAAGAAAAGATAGTAACTTAATAAGAAACATGTCTTTAAAAATTGATAGTCTACGTCAGAATATCAAACAAATCTCTGAAGTAATAAATGAGTAATAAAATAGATTTTCCTCATTTTTATAAAAAAGGTAAAACAGTAAAAATTAAAACTCTTGACGACAATACTGAAAAGAAAGAATACGTTTTCTCTACTTCTGGAAAAGCTGGTATTCAAACAATTGTAAATCATTGCAATAATCTCAACCAGATCATTGCAAGATGTCTCTTAAAAACTTCAAAAATAAGCCATTACCTTGGTATTTCAAAAGATATTTCTAAAGATATTTCAAAAAATAAAATACCTTTTAACCAATTTAAAAACGATTTAGCCATTTTGGTTAAAAACAATCTTCATAAAAATAATTTTGAAAAATTCTTTGAAGTTATTGAAAGACAAAATAAATTAACTATCAAGCTAACCCAGTCTATTGACAAACATTCTATTCTTTTAGAAAACTCTTTAAAAAAACAACCATTTTGTTGAAGAAGTCGCCAAAAAGGCAAATATTGAAGGCACTCTTAAGGAAAACAACCTTAAGATCACTAATATACAAGATCAGTTAAAACAACTGATAGGATGACCTCGATACCCGAGCTCAATAGATCAATCAACCTCCTTAATGAAAAAATAGATGGGCTGATTATAAACTTTGACTTAACGGCCAATAAATACGTAACACAGTTAGAAGTAGCATCTGCAAAAATTATTACAGACATTACTAAAGAGTTATCTGAAAAGATTGACTCTTGCCCTTGTAATAAAGACATTCTTGAACACATCAAGAATATTTCCATCATAGAACAAAAAACCAAACCTGGAAAATATTCAGGTCTTAAGAAATACTCACCTCCCAATCCTAGTATTGGAAACCCTGACTTAGGAAGCTCAAAAGACTCCCAGAAAATTGATATTTTCAAAAAAGAGCAAAAATGAAAGAAACAATCTCTGAGAAACTTGAGAAATATTTCTTTAACCTTCAATATGAAGATTATGATAAGGCTGACCAAAAACTTATTCAGCTTTTATCTTTAGAAACTGAAGAATGCGAAGAATTGTATCAAAAAGAACCCAAACTTTTTGATCAATATTTTAGAATGACTAAAATAGATGAACCTGATACTGAATCAGAACAAGAAGATAACTTTAAAACTAATACAAAGACTGTTAAGTTCGAATATTCAGATATGGAAGATGATGAAGCAGAATCTTCTTATACAGCCGCAAGTAGAAGCAATAAAAAGAAATATGAGTTCAAAATGCCTGTCCACAATGGTATTCCAGATAGTAGCAAAGGACCCAATACGATCAATGTACTCAATATTGATTGTATCCAAGATCTAAAACTCAGAGAAAGAGTTGTAGAAAAATGGGTTACTGAGATTTCACTAATCTTACAGACAAACCCAGATGAATTTGAAAAAGCAAAAAATGTTCTTCTACTTTTAGAACACAAAACTGATGGAATTGTGCAAAAGTTCCTAAGAAACAATAATTGGAATGAAGATTTGCATGGTTCATGATAATCTCATAAATGTCATATACACTACTTTCTTAGGTCTTGATTATATTTCTAATAAAGACTTTACCATTAATAAGAAAGTTGACGTAGCAAGAGTTTCAATGACAAAACTCCAATTACATGATATTAGTCTTCTCGACAAATACACATGTATGTATGAATCATATCTATATGATATTCCCCAGAGAAGTGAATATGCACAATGGATATCTGCTTATCTCATGAAAATTCCAATTATTGGAGAAATCTGTACTGAAAGATGGAAAAAAGAAGCTACTGGAGAAATCCAGCAAACCAGTCTTTCTTATGCAACAAAAATTGCAAAGGAAGAAATTGATAGAATCTGTCAAGACAGATATAAACAACAAAAGCTCAAAACAATAAGTAAAGATTGTTGTAGCATTCTCTCTGATTTCAAAAACTTTGATATTGGAAGGAAAACTTATACTAAGAAAAAGTATAAAAACAAAAAGAAATACAAATCTTTCTGGAAAAAGAAAAGAAGAAAATTTTCACCAGGAAAATACTTCAAAAAACCTTCAAAAGAATCACCTAAGAAGACTACTTCCTGTCCACAAGGAAAGAAAAAATGTAGATGTTGGATCTGCAATGAAGAAGGACACTATGCCAATGAATGTCCAAATAGAAAAAAATACCCTGACAAAGTCAAGGTTTTACAAACCGCTAATAATGGAGGTTATGAAGCTCTTGAAGAAGAGTATGAAGGTATACAACATGTCTTTACATTTCATGTTGAAACTGATTCTTCATCAAATTCTGATGAAAATGAATCAACCACGGATGACTCAGACTAGTCTCATACAGGCTCCAGAAGATTAATGATTCCCTTATCATGAATCTCACTAATCCTGACTCTATTTATGTTTCTGCCTTCCTTAACTTTAAAGGATATAAGAAATTTAGAGTACATTGTTTTGTAGACACAGGTGCATCTTTATGTCTTGCAAGCAAATTCATCATTCCGGATGAGCTCTGGGAAAATGCTCCCAAAGAAATTAGTGCCACTATTGCAAATGGTGAAACCATAAAGATAAATAAAGTTTGTAGAAATATTAATCTCGAACTTTCAGGAGAACATTTCAACGTTCCCACTATTTACCAACAAAATTCAGGAATTGATATCATAATTGGTAACAACTTTTGTCAAGTTTATGGACCATTTATACAATGGATAGATTGCCTTTCATCTTAATAATGATATGGTAATTATAAAAAGGTTACAGAAGCCTATAGCAAAGGAAAACCAGGTTTTCTTGAAACTCAAGAAAAAGGCTCTAAAGAAAAACAAATTCCGGGTACTAATATAACCCAAGAAGGAATTAATAAAGAAAAGATTATTTCTATTCAAACTACCAGGTTCAAACAGATTGAAGATCTTCTTGAAAAAGTTTGTTCTGAAAATCCTATTGATCCAGATAAAACCAAAGGATGGATGAAAGCTTCAATTAAGCTCATTAATCCCAAAACGGTTATTAGAGAAAAACCTATGGTTTACTCTCTACAAGATAGAGAAGAATTCTCCAAACAAATCAAGGAATTACTTGATATGAGACTAATTATAGAATCAAAATCCCCTCATATGTCCCCTGCCTTTCTTGTCAATAAAGAAGCAGAAAAAGAAGAGGAAAGAAGCGCATGGTTGTCAACTACAAAGCAATCAATGATGCAACTATTGGAGACTCACATAATCTTCCCAATATGCACGAACTTTTGACTCTTCTACGAGGAAAAAATATGTATTCAAGTTTTGACTGCAAGTCAGGTTTCTGGCAAGTCCTACTTGATGAAGAATCGCAGCTTCTCACTGCCTTCACATGTCCTGATGGACTCTTTCAATGGAAAGTACTACCCTTTGGGCTTAAACAAGCTCCTAGTATTTTTCAAAGACACATGCAGAACGCCCTTCGAGGACTTGAAGGTTTCTGTACTGTATACGTTGATGACATCATGGTCTTCAGCAAAAATGAACAAGAACACTATGTTCATGTTACACAGGTTCTCAGAACCATTTTAAAATATGGAATAATACTTTCAAAAAAGAAAGCTCATCTTTTCAAAACAAAAATTAATTTTTTGGGTTTAGAAATAAATGAGGGTACTCATTGTCCTCAAAAGCATATTCTTGAACATTTACATGACTTTCCAAATGTTTTAGAAGACAAAAAACAACTGCAAAGATTTCTTGGTGTTTTAACTTATGCTGAAACATATATTGAAAAACTTGCAGCCATGAGAAAACCTTTACAGGTAAAATTGAAAAAAGATGTCATCTGGAATTGGTCAAATGCTGATACAGACTACATCAAAAAGATAAAGAAAGTTTTAATCAATTTTCCAAAACTTTATCTTCCAAACATTGAAGACAGTTTAATTATTGAAACTGATGCTTCTGATGAATTTTGGGGAGGTGTTTTAAAAGCTAAAAACCCCAAAAACGAAGAACAAATTTGCAGGTACACCTCTGGCAGTTTCAAAGCAGCCGAGAAAAACTACCATAGCAATGAAAAAGAATTACTCGCTGTAAAAAGAGTTATTACAAAATTCTCTGTATATTTAACACCAGTAAAATTCCTGGTTCGTACAGATAATAAAAATTTTACTTATTTCCTCCGAACTAAGATTGCAGGAGACAACAAATTAGGCCGACTAATACGTTGGCAAGAGTGGTTCTCACGATATACTTTCACTGTTGAACATCTCGCAGGAAATAAAAATGTACTGGCAGACTGCCTCACCCGTGACTTCAGGTATACCTTACATCATCCATGATCTCACTTGCTCCTCTCGAGCCCTATAAAAGGATATGATCCTCATGACATATTCCTCACAAAAAACTTCACCTACAAAAAAGAGAGGGGGAGATTAGAGAGAAAAGTAAACAAAAATTGAGTTTACAAAAATGGAAGACCTCAACACTTTGAGGATAAAGAAACAAATGCTCCTCATTGAGCTATCTGCAATTGAGCAGAAAATCAACTTGTATGAACAAGTAACAACGGTCACCAATGTACCGGAAAGCGAAAGCTTAAAAACAAAGGCTATTCCAGTGCAAACGGCACCTGGTAAAGAATCAACAAATCCGTTGAAAGCTGATGCTTTGCTAAAAAGCATAATAAAGGAGACAGCTACTCCTCTTCCTGAAGGAAAAACTAGCTTATTGGTTAACCCCAATCCTTGTACTGAAGGAATCAGTAAAATGACAACTTTGTCACCCACCAACAAATCTGTGCAGGAGTTTACACCAGATTACAAAAAAGCTCTTAACAAAGAAGCTGAAAGATTTTATGTAATCTACAAAGGACCACATGCCGGTGTTCATACTGACTGGGGAATTACAGAAACTTTCTGTAAAGCTGATAAAGTTACTTGCAAAAAATTCAGAAATGAAGCATCTGCAAGATTAAGCCTTGCCACCTATCAAGATGATACAAGCAAAACTAACCAACCACTTCTTCGACCAAAAATCCAAAAAGTCAAAGAAGCTCACAGAGACCAAAGGTTTGACGTTCCAATTGA